TGTGGGTCTCAGAATATCTGCATGTTACTGCTGGGACGCAGTTAGTGCCTCCCCGGGAGGACCATGGGTCAGCTGGCTCAAGAGACACAGAGCTCACGAGCCCAGTGCTGCTCATCCCTTTGTTGGTGGGATTTTGTAAGGGACAGAGAGGTTTCATAGCCACCTGGCCATGCTGAGCTCAGAGCAGGGGAGCATCTCCTGGTAAAAAGAGCCTGCCTGCTATTACTGAGGAAATTTCCCCTGTGCTGTCTTTCCACAAAGGTGAGAACATCTTTAAGACTTAGATTTTTGCTTCTGATGTAATTGATTGGTTTTTGCCTACTTCTGTGAGCAGTAGTATCTTAGAGGGAGCTGGGAAATGCTCTTTGCTCAAAGTCAAGACCATCAGCTTTCTGCAGCGAACTGCAGGAAGTTCAAACTCCTTCAGAGCAGGTAGCTGAGGAGGGACATGGGAGCCCCTGCCTGTCCTGTCAGGGAGGGATGCTGCTGCCAGGAGAGAGGCAGTGACTGCTGACTGCCAGGCCTTACTGATTTGGAGCACGTCAGGAGCCCAAAGCCTGTGTTCCTCTCAGAGCTGTGATATTGTTAATCCACTACTTGGCAGTATCTTGTTTATCTTGTTTCAGATAGGGGTGGGCTGTCTCCTATTGAGGCTTCCTCAGTTTGATAAGGGAGACCTCATTGCTGTCTCCAGCTACATGGAAGGAGGTGGTAGTGAGCTGGGAGCTGGTCTCTTCTCCTTGATTACCAGTGAAAGGACAAAAGGAAATGGCCTCAAGTTGTGCCAAGGGAGGTTTAGATTGGATATCAGTGAAAATTTCTTTACCATAAGGGTTGTCAAGCATTGGAACATTCCCTGGCTGCCCAGGGAAGTGTTGGATTCACCCTCCCTGGAGGTATTTGGGAGACATTTAGATGTGACACTCAGTGACATGGTTTAGTGGTGAACTTGGTAGTTCTGGGTTAGTGGTTGGACTTGATGATTTTGAAGGACACTTCAGACCTAAATGATTCTATAACTCTATGTTGTAGTGATTATCACTATAGCCAGTGGTGATGGGTTGACTGTGACTGACAACTAAGTTCCACAGTGGGACAAAAGCTCATGACCTGAGGTAAAGCCAGTGAACCACTCTCCCAGTACAGCAGTTTAGTACCAGGTGCAGTGACTGCTGGAACTGATATGATTTTGCTTTACCTCCTAATTGTTGACAAAGAGAATTCCCATCTCCAGAAGTCTCCTCACTGTCACTGCATTTCCTTCTACAGGCGCCGTGCTCAGACTTGCACAGACGTGTGAGTTTTACTGCAGAGGTTGCTCCCGTTAAGCAATTGTAGCCAGAGCTCCCCCAGTTGTTTGCAGAACAAGGAGATGCTGTGTTTGTGAGATCACAACTATCAGCCCTGTTTTACGATTTTTATGAGCATTAATGGAACAAGGTTTGGGGACTGAAGGAGAAAATGGAATATGAAAAGGAAAATGAAAAGAGGCTGTGAGGAAAGCATGTCATTTCTAAATGAATGCTCTGTGCAGAGGAATTGAATCTTTTCACAGCTGAAAATGGATCTTAAATCTGATGCCTTAGCTTGTTTCAGCTTCTGTAATGAAATAGAGTTTTCCTAATACCCTGTGACCTGAATTTCTCCCTGCTTTATGGGTGCTATTCCTTGACGTACAAACCTGTATTTTCTCAAGTCAGCATTTGATGATGGATGTCAAAATACAGGTCATGTATTATGCATATAGCATTACCGATTTAAGGTGTTTACTTGTCAAGTTGAGGAAATTCAAAAATGTCACATTCACTGAATCTGCACAGCTGTCACTTGTAGTTTTTCATGCCTTTAAATGAAAGTTCTGATAAAGCAGGTTAGTTTCCTGCACTTTTTTTTTTTTTTTTTGTTTTCTCTTCTGGAGGAAAAAAATAGCCTGTGTATGGAAATTAGTTTGTGACTTGGGAGCAGGAATGTGTCTTGAGGGTGTTTGATAGCACACAAAACCCCCAAATATTTCCTCTTCCTGAAAATATTCCACAATTCTTATATTTCTAGAAGTGTCTGAATTAAGTACGAGCAAGGAAATTAAATTATCAGATACTTCTCACATCTTTCAAGACAGTAGGATGAAAAATATTAAGGCATGAGTCTATTTTTCATTCAAGGAGAAAACACAATCCCTTTAACATGCTTCCTGCATTTCAGACTGAATGCACTATGTGTGCAGTGTGCAATTACAGAGCTTCTGACAGTCTGTGTCTAACAAAAATGCCACATTTACTTCAATTTTCTGACACCATCCCAGGAAGACAAATATTCTGAGGGTTAGAGAGGTGGCTACAAATGGCCTCTGATGGAGAGCGTGCGTGTCTGTGTATGTGCACGTTGCAGGGAAGGGGAGGCAAGAAGAACCTGCACATTTAGCTGAGTTACATACACTAGCTTACTTCAATTTGCTTTTAACTGGCAGGGAAATACTGCTGTGCTCCTGCCACCTGAAGGGCCTGATTCACTAGGAGGTGGTTTAGGAAGCGTGTCCTGAGATGTGGGGAAGAGGCTTCAGGAAAAAAGGGAGAAGCAGAGCCTCCAGGGATACTCCCAGCAGTATAATCCCTGGAGTGCATGTGAACAATATTAGTTTTGTTTTATATTTTTATATAAGTGAGCATGAAAAGTCATCACGTTGCCATTTTGACTTGTAATTCAGCAGGGGACCCAACTGGGCCTGCCACCTTATCTGCTCAAGGAAACTGCAGCTACCTGAGCTTTTTCTAATGTGACAAAGGCTGTCTCTTGCATCTCCTAAAATAATGCATTCGACAATACAATGCAAGACACTGGATCCTGCTGCAGAAGGAGGTGTCACACTAACACCCACCTGTCCTCAGATTGCATTTCCTCCCCTTGGAGTCCCACTTCAGTTTTTCTGCTGTTGTGAGAGAGTCAGTGTTACCTGTAACTTACACAGTGGTGACTGAAAGACCTCTGTCAGACTGGTGAGCCTGAGGAATCTCAGGCTCTGCCACGAAGAGATAAACATTCAAAGGGCCAAAACAGCTCTCAGTCACAGTGCCAGATACAAGGAAACATCTGCAAACTGAAACTGGCTGGGACCACAACTCCCTGTCACCAAGCTGGTCTTTGTGAGTTCAGCAGCACAGGTGATGTGACATGGCTGACTGTTAACATTTCTGATTGCCTCTAAGAAATCTGCTTCATAAAGATTTTCTATCCACTGATGATATTATATAGAATTTCTCTACTGACTTAGGTTTCCCTATGGCAATGTTTTTGTCTTACAAGCCCGTTGAAGATATCACATCCACTTCTTTTCTCCTGAGGAATTTCTTCACAGACTTTTCACTCTCTTTTTAAGCTATCCTGTCTGTACAATCACCATGTTGCATCTAGTTTTCTTGTGATAGAATGTAATTCTTACCAGTACCTTCTGCAGAGCTCTAGGAAAGTCTCTTCCCAGTGATTCTAGTTTTATTACCTGTATATTCTCAGTGTGATACATACAAAACATAGAGATAGATGAATGGAAGGAGAACATTAAATCCCATTAAATCAAGAAGCCCAGATCTCGTGGTCCTTGTAGTTTAGGGGCAGTTTAAGAGTGATGTAATTATCACTGGAAGAGAACTGTAAGTCCTTAAGACAATATAAACCAGTATGATATGCTAACAACTACAATTTAGTTTAGAGATTTCCTGGTCTGTAAATTGGTCCCCAAATAGAAGGCAAGGTATCAAATAATCTTCCTCTGAATTCAGTACCAGGTGAATGTATCCATTAATTTAATGGAGTGAAACTATTTCCACACTGCGAGAAGATTGTGAATTTAAGTCAGGAATTGATTTTGCTGTGAATAAGTTGAGAATAAATGTATGGAGAATTCAGCACTAGTGACGAAGGACCAAAGGTCTGTCACCCGGATGTCAGGTGTGAAGTCAAAGAACTTGGAAATAATATTGCAATAAAAAAAAAATGGAATGTTTTGGGGTTTTTTTAAGTGTGGTTTGAAGTAAACTTGGCTCAATTTTATTCCTAGCAGACAAATATTTGTCTAAAAATGCTGCCTTGATATTGGTCTATTGGTCTATGAAACCATAAAGTCACTTTCTAGCTTTACCATCACTTCTGCAATGACATTAAATGAGCATTCACATGTTTTCTATAGCTTTACTGGAAAAGGGGGATGGAATGCACTAGTCAGTCTCAGTGGTGAATTTTCAGGCCTGCTATTGCATGGGCTTTTGTATAACTACCCATTTTTCAGTACTTACAATCAAACTCCAAAAGGTTTTGCCTGGGTATTTTTTGTTTGAAGGCAAAAAATAAAAAAAAAAAAAAAAGATAAAAACACTCAATGTCAAGAGCTCCGTTTCAAACAGTAGGCAATCTGGCTGAAAACAGTCTTTTTTAAAGGTGAATGTTGCTGGTCTCTAATTTTTTTTTTTTCTGTGACTGCCTTCCAACATGTTTCTTCTTCCACCTTTATTTCCTTCAAATTGTCACTCTTTCCAGTTCTTTTCAAGCAATCCTCTCACATAACATTTGAAAACCTGTGTCTCTTTCCTTTCATCCTATCTTTTTGTCTTGTAGACTGGACCCTTCCATCCCAGGATTCCTACAATTGTAGTCCTCATAGAAATGCATATTATAGATGGTACACATGAAAATTACAAAGACCCTACTCTGTGTGGGTGGTAGTGCTCTTGGAAAACAGTTGGATAATTTTAAATCTTGACTTCTGCTCAAACCTAAAACTGGCTAATGGAAGCAGTTTGTTCCTCATGGTTGTATTACCATTTACAAACAGTACTCTTTAAAATCTTAATTGCTGTTTAAGCAAAGGTTTTTGCTTTGGAATGGTTTGTTTTTTGTTGTTGGTTTGGGTTTTTTTGGGTTTGTTTGTTTGGCTTTTTTGCATGTAGTTTGTCCTCTGTAAACATTCTCTATTTTTCTCTCTTCTTTTCATTTTTTTTCCTTCCTTTTAGGCTTTACACCTCCAGGGATGGATAGGACATCTCCAGACAATAGTCCAGTCCATGGCCTTTTACGTCAACCCTCCATTACAACAGGAGCCAACATCCCTATTATAACAGAGCTAGGTAAGAAAAGCTAAAATATATCCTTCAAATGTACATTCCAATGTCTTTTTCCCACTTTCCTTGTTATGTAGATACAGAAAAATTACCCGTACTGTTACATTTTCTCTTTTGATAAGTGTTTTAAATTACTCTCTCAGAAGAAAGTTTAGGAACAGTTGATTCACTTTATTTGAATAACTGAAATATATTTCCCTCCTTTGGGTTTTCTCCATTTTCTTAAATAAATATTCTATCAGACAAGATGATTTTTGCATAGTGTAACAAACAAGCAAGGGTCTTTGGGCTAAGATTAGAAAAGGAAAAAAGGCCAGAGTAAGTATAAGCAGATATTTCCTGTGCATTTAATCAATTGTAAGAGGCCATTTGTTTATTTCTTCATGGTCCAAAACTGTTTAATCATGTGTAACCAAACTCTATATAATAGTATGAGATATTTCACTCCTGAGAATATGATGATGGTAGGTAACTAGACTCTGATTTCCACTCTAGCTGTGGGTATTTATGTTGTCAAGCGGTGTGATGTGAAGTGCAGAAGCTGTTCTGTTTCTTTCATGGCAAATACAAACTTGATTTGTGGTCCTTTGTCCTTCTGTTTTCTTTTTCAGTTTTATTTTTTAGAGCCTTACCTGTCTTTTTCCCTTACTTTATTCTCTTTCTGTACTTTCTTTCCCCCCTAAATACTTTACTTACTAGCTAAGCCTGGCAAACTTCTGCCTTTGGTTTCAATCAGTCAGGAAAAAAACAGTGGAACCCACATTCTAATGATAACTGAACTGGGTAAGAAGTGCCTTTTTCCTTCACATCACTGTGTTATTTTCTGTTGTTGTTCTTACTGTCATCAGCTTTTCCTTTATTTATCTGGCTGTATCAGAGGGGCTACCCTCATGGCACTGCTTTGAATGTGTTTTATTTGTGGTTCTGGTTGAAATTGACTGTCTTGTTCTGGTCTTCTTAATGATTTTTTTTCACGCAGCATCAGTAAACCTTTGATCACACTCGTCTGACCTGCCGGCTGTTTTCATAGCACCTCCTCACCAATTCATTTTTTTTGGCCTAAGTCCCCACCTCCCTGGCCCTCACTCTCCTACACCAATTTCTCTCTCCTTTTCTCTTCTTTCTCTTTCTTTTTGTTACTTCAGCCTGTTGTCAATTTGGTGGACATGCCTTAGCAGCTTTTCACAGGAAGTCCAAGAAGAAGTAAAAGATACCAGAAAAAACCCCAAGCATCATACTTTCCCTCAAGCTATTTTTTTGTTTATTTTGTAGAGTAAGGCTCAGGTTTTGAAGCTGTAGAGGAGCAGCCAGGCTCCTGTGTGGTTCCCTCTCAACACAGAGTGCTCTCACCAGCCCTTGGAGCAGCGTTTGATGAGCTTTTCCCTATGGCACAGCACCACCCGTTGGCACCCAGCTCTCCTGGCCCACAAATCCCAGTGTGCTAACTTGCATCAGGAAGATAAAGATGCTGAGGATAAACACATACCTGCAGAACTCATGGTAGATTTTTAGTAGCTCAGGAACTGACCCCATGCATGGCTAGCACGGTGTCAGGTGTTAGTCTGCCCGATGGAAGTGGAAAAAGAGGGCTACTGTCAATGGTGCCTACTCTCAGCTAGCAAATTAAACTGAGGTGCAAGCTGTTCAAAAAGTACATTTTGATACAGCAGGCTTTCAGATACTATATTGCTTAAGAATCTACCTAAATTGATAGGTATTGTACTAGAAAAAGAAGTTTTGTGGATCCTGGTGTTTTCTTGGATGAAAGTCTTCTGATTCCCAGGGCAGAAAATTTCTCCTATTACAGTACTAGGGTGCTATGTTTTAACAATTACATCAGGGAGTGCAAAGGCAAGATTTTTAAATTCTCTCCTCATCTCATTTAGACAGCTATCATGAGGTTTTATCTGCAGTAATTCATGTTTTGTAAGTTAAACATAGCAAGCACAGTAGTATAGAGAGTTTGGAAAAGGAGTGGATGTACAAGAAAACTATATGGGAAGAATTGAAACTGTATGAGAAGAAAGATCAGAATAGTAGGCAGAATCATTTCTGGCTTTAGAAGACTAGAGTTGAAATCTGATCAAGTTAACAGCAGTTCTCATGTTATTTTCAAAGTTTGCTGGGTTGGCTCAGGAGATGTGTTCACATGGGGAATAGGGATATCATCAGTGTGTGCAGTTTCAAATGCTCAAAAACTTTTTCATTTTCCTTTCTTGCATGGGAACTGAAATTAATTTGTCATTTAGTAAGCTGAAGGGTATTTCAATGGCATAGCTAAGCAGTCTGTGCGTTCATGCCTGAGGGAGACTAATATGGAAATGAAATATTTCATGAAATACGATCCACTTGATACACTGATCTCAAGGAAACAACTATTTTTAGTTGGAATGAGTTGGAGGCAGAGGGCTTAACTGTGACAATGAAATGCCAGAGAAAGTCAAAATGACAAATACTACTTTATTTGGGCTTTTCTCTAAAACAGCCTGATTTAGACTCTTTTTCACACTGGCTAATGTAGAATTTGTGGCTGAGAAAGTGACGTTATAGAGACAAATATTTGAACATAAGGCAGTGCTGCAAGAGAATAACTGCTCATTCATTCAGATAGATGCATGTTAAAGGGACAGTTTATCCTCTTTTGAGCCCTAAGTGCATTAACACCACTCTAGCAAGAATCACAGCAGCACATCTAACAGATGCCTGTGGGCTATATCAGAATTTTATTGACAGCCTCTATTTTACAACTTTGTATCTTGTGATAGAATTTCACATTAACTCTACATTGCATACAGCCTCAGCCAATATACCAAGATTGTCTCAATATACAAGTTTATCATATATCTCATTTTGAGCGCAGGCAACTGGTGCCACGGAGCTGCTTTCCAGGAAAGGGATAGGAACATGTCAAGAACAAGAGTGTCACCTCTTACAAGCAAGATAACAAGCAACAGATTTTTAAATGCACATTTTCACATCCATCTTGATTTCATTTTCAGTGACGTCAAAGACACAAGTCTGTGTTTCCAGACATATGCCGTTTCTTTTTCTTTGGCTGTGTAATGTGTAAGGTCACATGCTGGTGACCCAGAAACACCTTTCGTTTCTACTCTTAATATTATTATTGTACTTTTCAGTAAATGATTCAAATGTTCAGTTCTTGGACCAAGATGATGATGATGATCCCGACACAGAACTGTATCTCACACAGCCTTTTGCTTGTGGAACCGCATTTGCTGTCAGCGTGCTGGACTCCCTCATGAGCGCAGTAAGCAAACAAATCTTTTTCATTCCCTTCCATCAGACTTGCTGTGAAAGAGAGTGAAGGTGTAGAATCTTTTCCAAAAATAGGCAGAAGATGCTTTTTTCTTAGTGTCAAGAGAATTTTGTAACCTAAGCTAGGTTATTTTCTTAGTTGGACACTCTAACTGAGATATCTAGGACTTCCACGAGTCCACAATTTTGTAAGGAAACAGTCTCATGTCAGGTTTCAAGAATCATGCTTTCAAAAAAAAATTGTCCCTTCTGCCTAAAATCCAGACTCAAATTCAGTGTGTCAGTCCCTGTGCTCACCATTCTTGTCAGACAGCATCAACTGTGTTTTGAGCTTTTAATTTCCTGTAGCTATGCTCTGAGTATGAGTGCTGGGGGACGCTGATAGAACTCCACAAAAGCCATTGTACACATCTCATGAACTCTATTTGTGTGAAGAGAGGTTATCCTCTCTTTTTCAAATGAATTTCCTTATGAATCAAAACTTCAGTGCATGCCAGAAACTACAGATGGTGGCCTTTGGTTATATCTACATTGGGGCTTTTGTTTGCAGCCATAGCACAGTTCTGAAGCAAGCCCCTCGGTCATGCTCCTTTTCATCCTCCTTATATTGGCCAAGTTTCCAGACCAGTCTTGCTCTGTGTGAGCTGCACTTCATCCAGAGGGACCCTAAACTCTGCTAGATATAGCAAGGACATAGTCTTTTTAAAATCTGAGCATGGGCTTTCTGAGCTCCCCATAGAATAAAGTTCCACAGGGCTGGGAAAGATCTGTTGTAGACCCCAACTAACACCATATATGAGCAGATGCATTTCTCTAAAGGAGCCAAGTCTGACCTTCACCTGAATTCAGAATGAAACTTTTTTGCTTTTAAGAAAAATGTGTATTGATCTTTATGATTTATTATTTTATTTGTATTTCATATTTATGTATCTGTATTTTGCAGTTTTGCCTGCTATATTTTCCATATGTTCCATCCACAGATGAGTCTACACAGATAAAATTTTAGTCTAATGCTTTAGGAGTTTTTAGTATCCTCAGACAATGCTTTTCTTGAAAGCTATTTACAATATTTTGTAGATGTGACAAATTCAGAAAACCTATTCAAGGACTCCTAAACTCTATACCTTCTCAAATTAAAATCTCTATGTATAAAATTTTTTTGCATATTCATGTTATAAATGGGAATAATTTAACATGAAGGTTCCAAATGTTTACTTAGAGCTGTTTATCTACTCCCATTATTATCTAAGTCAATATCTCTGAATGTACTGTTCAGTAGGGCACTTCAGAATCAAGAAAAAAAAGAATTAATCCTTCTGGTTGCCACTGGCATTGCCACAGAAAGAGTGAGATACTGTGGACATTATTGCTTCCTTGTGCAAAGGTGTCTCAAGTAAATAATCGTGATGCAATAAAAAATAGGTACAGCATGCCTGTTCAGAAATTTTAGTGTTTTTAGTTATTGCTAGCTTTTATTAACTCTTAGTTTTGGACAACATGCCCTCTGTTTTTGCAGTTCCATTCTACAAAAGTCCTTTTTCTGAACATTTTCATATCTAAGTGGTGATATTATGTGTCAGCGACAGTGCAGCCTGAAGCCAGAGAAATGTGATAACAAGAGTAGAAAATTCTCAAAAAAATACTAATCAAGAAGAAAGGCAAGGATTCAGTCAATTAGAATTGTTCACTATCCTATCTTTTCTTTCACCAGTTTTCTGATCAGTGGCAGGGTTATTTTCTCTTTATTCCTCAAAGGCCCAGCAAGGAGTTGGAAAAGAACAATTCTTCCTGACCACTCAGAAAGTGTAAAATGTGTGAGATGCTTTCCCTTTACTATCCATATTCTCATGGGGAAGGTGTGTTATCCTTTCACTTCTTCTCCAAGGAAAAGAGTGTTTCTCACACAAACTAATCTGTTTTTACTATGTTATTTCTTACCTTTATTATCTTTTTTCCTAAAGTACACTTGGTTTTAGCAAATAGCTTCTATTTAATGTGTCTAACTTCATACTTTCCAGTATGGGAAACTGAACCCTGAATCCTAGCTAAATTGTGACATCTGTAGTCATGCTTTCATCCTATTAATTGCACAGGAATTCTGTAAGAAGTATACAATGTGCACGCTGCTGCCTTTTGCCATTTGGAGACAAGTATATAGTTCATTATTCTATCTACTTAGTGATGCAGTGGGTTTTGCTGCTTATTTTTGATAGAAAAATTGCAGTTTATTATTTCTGTTGATAGCTGTGTAATGAAAATTGCTTATATAGTGTACAATGCAAATTTTCATGAACTGCTCCTTTAAGAATCAATCTCTTCCCACAGTAGTGGGATTTTGTAGTAAAACAAAAGTCGAGTAATAGCCATGCATACATATTATTTCTGGGCTGTGGGTCATTTGAAACATGCGTATAGATGTACATACAAGGAAAAAAGCTACAAAATATATTCAAATTAATTTGCCTAAGTGTTTCGTTATTGGACAATAATAATAATAATAATGATTCTACAGTATTAATCAGTATTAAATTATAATTTTATTTTTTATAGTTTTATAATTTTGAAGTAATGCATTACACCCAACTCATGAAACTTAGATTAGAAAATATGGTAACTTTCTAATTCAAGTCTGACTGCTGGAGATCTTTACATTCTGCTGGTTTAGCGTTATTTCCTATAAGATGACAGTATTGGATATTTTAAGTTTGAAATTTTCTGTTATTTCCTTATTTCAAAGGTAAAAGGCTTAATGTAGTTTAGTTTTCAAAGTGCCATGTACTGGTCATCTACACCCAGTTTGGCTTTGCAGCAAAGGCAATATTTCCCACAAGCCAAGGATTCACAGTGCAGTAGCTCAAACACCATTGCTCAGAGGACAATAACCAGCTCAGAACCTGCTCTGTGTTGTTGATGAGTTGGGAGCAGTGATCTCACCAGGTTTGCTTCAAGAGCTTTACTGTGCTCTGTGGGAAGGCTCTGGGCTTGGTTCATGTTTTAACTCTGGCAGAGGCTATTGTTAAAGTGCTCCAGCTAATCATTGCTATGTCTTTGAAGAGACATCTAGTGCCATCAGGTACTTAAATGATATATTAATATTTATTTTGTCGTAGCATATGCAAACCCAGGGAAATAATACACATTGTCAGTCTCAAGGCAACACCACTTCTGAAAAGCAGAGCATGCCTTCATCACCAAGTGAAATGTAACTAAAAAGTGTGGGATTGGAAGCATCTTTTAGGTTATGTAACTGGTTTTTAAAAATGTTATCTTCAGCTATAGAAAAGTTATGTGACATAGGATAGAGAAGCTAATATTTGAGCAGAAGGGCTTATTTCTGAGTCTCGTTGAGATAGTTATTCCATAAAATCCTGTACATGCAAGGAAACCAGCTTTCAACCCACAGAACCTTCAAAGGTTTGAGCAGTTGCCCTGAGAGCCAGAGCTTCCCCATTCCTGCTTTTGGCACTGAAGCACTGCAGCAGTGCTGGCAGGCTGGGTCCCTCCCACACCTGCACTGCACCAGACCCCAGGTGCTGCTGGACACAGGTGATACCACTTAACATTCACTACCCTGGAATCCATTTCCTTGTGCCAGAACTTCAGGTCTTGATTGTTTTCTATATTACCAAATCCTACTTTTTCTTCATATAAACAGAAGTACAGAATGGAAGAAAATCATTAAAACAGTTAAAAATAACTTTTCATTATGTCCCATACTCAAGAATTCTCCCTAAGGGATCCTCACAGTCTTATTTATACAGAAAAGAAACTATTCTAATCTTTGTTATGAACACAGGACTATTTTCCATGCAATTCTGTTCAGAGAATTAGTAAACAGCATCTTGTAACTTAAAGTGTCCCAAACTTCTTTAAAGTTTGGACAATAGTTTAAGAATTAATAGATTTTCAAATGCTGCAATACTGTTATTTATTGTCTGATGTTTATTCTGTGTCAAAGACCCTTTTGTTATTGGTGTGAATTACTGATGTTAGCTTAGTCATTCCTCAGGTTTGGATATATATTATTCCTCCAACTCAATGAGAAAAGCAATTTAAAGTATTTGTTTGAAAGTGAGGTTAAAAACCACATGTGGTGGAGGAGGAGGAGTCGTCTTCTTAAAAGAAATTCATTTAAAAACCCACTAGCAAACACAAAAAAGGCAGATATAACTTGAAAAATGAGAATTTTAGTGTAATTATAAATGAAAGGCAAAGTGCTATTAAAGTTAAAGCAATATTATTAAAAGATGTGCTAATTTTCAGTTAAATTTTCTGTAGAAGACCAATTAGTTTAAAAGACATGACAGCATTAACTGCAAAACATAAGCACTCTGGTAATTATACTTTAAAAATGATTGAACAAATGGGAAAGCATCCTTGAAACATTTGAAAGAGCTGCACTACAATTCTGAAGCAAAGGCTAGGTGGCACTGCTAGCTCAGATATCTGTGTCACAATTTCCTTGCTATTTACCCAGTTTCAGTGTGTATGATGCATTTCTTTTTTTCTGTGTTTAGAATACACCTATTTCATGCTCTCATTCCAGATGCTGATTAAAGTGGTATCACACACATGTCCAGTGTGGGGTTTGGTTAACGACAATAGCAAACAAGTATTTCTTCAGTTTTGATTTTACACTCAACAAAAGGGATTCTTTTCCATCACTGGAAAGTGCCTTGTTACTTTAAGTACAACAGCACCTTTCCAAAGACATTCTGTAGATCAGTTTCTTATAAGTACTGGCATATTCAGGCCATGTACCCTCCCACAGAGCAAGTAGAAGATCACTCTCAAATTAATTTCAGTGTATTATTATTCCAGAGGAAATGGATATCAGCTAGTTCAGCTTTTCAGTGTTCCCCTAGTTCCACACTGGCAAGACGAAATGAGGAGTCTGATTTTTGTGACAATCAAAAGCATGGACAGACAGCTTTTTCTTGAGGAGTGCTAAATACTTTAGTACAGAAGGAAGCAACCCTGTTTAGTGAGGGTGAGAAGTTACAGCTTCCTATTCACCCATCTTTTCTTGCTTATGGTTGGACATTTTCTGATCAGATGTAATGCTGCAGCAGTTTGTCCTGAAACTTGGAATATTTTCTCCCAACGATTGCAAAAAAAAAAAAAAACCCAAAAAAACTCCCCAACCAAACAACAACAACAAACAAAAAAACAACAAAAAAAAACTTAAAAGAAAAAAAACAAACCCAAGAAATATCTTTTGGCTGCACTCATCCATCTGATTGAATGGTGCCATCCACATCAGTCATGGTGTGAAACCCAAATTAAGCCATTGTTCCACAATGAATGCTGCTTCCTTTGCTAATGAGGGTCTTAGCTTTGCCTTAGAGGTATAGCACAGTTGCCAAAGAGAGTGACTCTGATTTCATCTCTGGGACATCAAGAAAGAAGTAATTGCAAAATAAACAATCATGCCTGAATGTCTTCTCTCTCTCACAGTGGCAATTCCTATTAAACATCATGTAATCGCTCCAGACTTACATTCCTGCAAGGAGTCACATTGATTTTTCCATAAGTTAAGAGAGGTTTGAGTATTACACTTGAATTGTTACCCAGTGCATCCACATGTATAAGGGCTGATTTGAGATCAGCTGTTGTTTTAGACTGGCTGAATCCTCATGAACCTCTGCCTATGTCAGACTACTCCTTACAATATGCTTTGTAGCTAAAATATGTAGTGCCTTACACAGGTTAACTTAAATAATTGGAGTTGATGAGATGCAAGTATTTGCTTTAGGGCATGTATAACAGTAAGAATATGTTCCTCTCATTTTAATTTAGTCAACAGGTGAATGGCATATATGCCTATGTAAATAAGCAGAGAAGCTTGAAGTTAGGAAACTTCAATGTAAATTGAAAAACATTGCTGCGTAGAACTCATTTTCTTCTGTTTTATCTGTCATCTCCGGCAAACAATGAAACTGAAGTTCATTATACAAAGAAAGAATATCAAAGCAACATGGATAGGAAGCCAGTTCTGCTTTTTGATCTCAGGATAAAATATTTCAACCTCTACCTCAGTTTACCCATGTATTAAATGCAGTTACATTATATGGCTAGAGCAGTGAATTTCATTGAAAAGTATTATTTTAAAAGTCTTATCTTTAGACAACAAGCACTGCTGGAGAATTCACTATTCATTTTTACTTGGTTGGATTACAGGCATTTGTTATAAGTCCTAAATTCAACAAAATCCAGAAATCTAGTAATGTCAATCCTGTGTACTCTACAGTGAGCTCATTTTTTCCTTTTATGTTCCTTGCACTTTCAAAGCTTCTGAAAACTCAGACATTGGTGACATTATAAGTGACAGTCTTTCCTTTTTTTTTGTTCAACATTTTTTTTTGCCCAGTACAATACATTGCAGATGTTTAACTGAGTATGTCTGAACTATACCAGTATACTTTTAAGTGAACTTGAAAGTCATTCATCTGGATTTAAATTAATATTTTAAATACCCATTGTTTGCCTGACAGACCAGCAATGCTACAGATGCTGGCAAAATGTCAGTGTGGAGTAAATCTTCCCTAATAAACCACACTTACCCTATACCCTAGAGTTTTTTAAAAGGACCACCAGGATCCCAAACTCATCATACATTTATCTGGAATGAACTCAAGATGTTTAATTGATACATGCTTATGTCTGAACACTGTCAAGTCTCGTAATAAGATGTTTAGTACAATACATCGGTTAGACTGCTAGAGTCCAGCCACAGTAATAAGTAATGACATTTGCAGCACAAAGGCAGCTCCCCAACGAATTGGTGACAAGAGTAAAAAGGCAATCTAGCCTGTGTAAGCTTTAAATGTGGTCTGAATTTTACAATTACATGTCCTAAAGCCCATTATTAGACATGAGGGCGATGAGAAGGAAAGCAGTCATTGCATCACTACTAACACCAATTATAGGAAACATAAATCATTCAAATTTTTGTACTTTAATAAAAATCAGCCTGAATTGGTGTTTAAAAGGAAGGATCTAGTATAGGAGCCTAATGGGAAAGAAGAAAATAGAGTAATTGGAGGCTGCTGTCTTTTCACTTTCTATATAAAATTATTTGAAGAGACAGCCAAGAACTTTAAACAGCAGAAACCCGGAAAAGTTGTAATTTGGATGTCTTCAGTTGTGACTTTAATGGTGTTTGCTTAAAGAGCTTTCTTTTATCTCTGCAGACATACTTCAATGACAATATCCTCACACTGATACGGACATTGGTAACAGGAGGAGCCACACCAGAGCTGGAAGCACTGATTGCTGAGGAAAATGCATTGAGAGGAGGTTACAGCACGCCCCAGACACTTGCAAACAGGGACAGGTGTCGAGTTGCTCAGTTGGCTTTGTATGATGGGCCATTTGCAGACCTAGGGGTAAGATCATGAGGGAAATGCAGGACCAAGGCTGGTCTGTGCTCTGTTAGCTTTCTCTCAGACTGAGTGAAAAATCCATCTCAATAAGCATATAATTTCTATTATTGAATTTAATAGAGCTTTTGGATTGTTTAAAAATTTATAGCACAGAGTGCCAGGTTTGCTCTTTACCTTTTTGAGAAGCTGTATGACTGCCCCGGATCCCTGCCTGCGTATTTCATACAGAAAATCCTGTGGCTCTTCTTCGTTGTCAGCTAAAGAGATGGATGAGCTGATATGGGTGATATAACCATTATAGCGATAATGAATTCTAAATTTATTCAATATGTATAGATATACCTTTTTTGGGTGCCGATAAGCTTATTCAGTGTTTTCACAGAGCTTCCAATTCTTGAAATCTGCTTATTAGCTTGAAAACAAAGGTTTGTAAGGTTTGGTTTCTGCTGGTGTTGGACGAACTAAAATTCTTATGAAATCCTAATCTTCTGATAATTTGACTGCACTGTTCTAAGGGTCAAAAAACAAGCAAAAAAATTTAAAATCCCAAACGAAATAAATAAATTATCTTTTAAAAATAGCGCATCATATAAAAATAAAATATCTAGAAATGTTTTCTGGACCACATTATGAAATCTTGAGGTAATCCCAAAGCACCCACTCTGCTTTGATGATGATGTAGGATTTGATGTTTCTTAAATTAACCCTGTGTTGACCAGCTCTGTCCAAAAAGAGCAGAATGACCTTCACAGAAATGACAGGGAATCCCAGTTTAAGGATTAGGGCAGGAGTGCACAGATAGAAGCCTACAGCCTTTCAGTTGATGTAGCAGTCTAGTTGCAGCTGAGACTAGCAGCACATCAAAACTCTTTGGGATGCAGCTTAACACTTCCACAAACAAACTAAGCAACACCAATTTTTTGAATGCTGTTTCACCAGAGCCTCAATTGCACTACATCTGTGAAGGCAGAATTGACACTCATGATTATTTAAGAATCACTATTTTGGATATACAAATGAGCAAATCTAAACTTATTTTTTGCTAATCATACATTTAGTCATAATTTTACAGAAGCAGATAATTTATTATCCTTTTAAACCCATCGAACTCTAATTTCTGTTGTGCTCCTCAAGTCTTTTTTTGTCTGGACGACAGTATGACTGCTGCCAAGAAAGGGTCAAAGATACTAACAATTTTAATATCACAGTTAATGTAATTTGTAGAATATGCATTGTCTGGTACAAAAATTTAGATTTCCAGCTTAAAGCAAATCACTCACTCTTTCTAATTTGCCATTATTTTATGGACTACGGCTCTCCAAAATAACATTCATCACTTTACATATTTACTCATTTGAAATAAAACATTTAGATTATTCATTTCCTTGGGCTCTCATTTGAGACAAACAACAGACTGTCTATACATTGTCCCTTTTTTATAAGTTCATACTGCACGACTGTTCCTTGATGGAGTAAAGAAAGGAAAAAAATGTGCTTTTCTCTTTTTTTTTTTTTAATCTCCTCTCTTTCCTCTAGGACGGAGGTTGTTATGGAGATCTGTTTTGTAAAGCACTGAAAACATACAATATGCTTTGCTTTGGAATTTATCGGTTAAGGGATGCACATCTAAGTACTCCCAGCCAATGCACTAAACGGTGAGTCTGGTCTTTTAGAACATCTCTGCTTCACTGATCTGCAGTCTTCTCAGGAAGGAAAAGCCCAGTGCCTGTAATAAATATAAAAAAGAGCTTGCTCCGTTTTTGTATAACTTTTCCACAATCCTCTTTAAAGATTTCACCATGATTCTATCTGACTTTAAATCATAAGCTGGATATCACAGTGTAAGTTGTCAGCTGATTTTATTCAAAAATTTTTAATTAAATATTCAGAGTGTATCTTTAGCTTGTTTGCTCTATGATGATCCACTGTTTGCCTGCAAGGAAAGGACTTCGGTTCCCTTATATGAATCAACTCTTAAGTTGTGGGATAATAATTTAAATTACAGTAGGTAGTCTTTTTTCTGAATGCTCAAATAATACTCCTGTGGGCTTCCCATCAGTACCATCTGTGTCTAAGCATAATTTCTTCCAGTAAATGGAAACCCTTCTCTTGGTAGACTACATTTTTACTTCAGTAGCACCAAGCCTGACCTTAGTGCTTTAAATAGAGCAGACACATTTCCATCTTTGCAAACTGAAGGCCGTTTAGCAGCTTGCTTGAAATGTGTCTTAATTAACTGCTTCCTAGAAATACACACACAGACCCATACCAGAAGTATCACAAATCTACCATCTGTTACTGTTTCATGCTCTACAGAAAACATCATTATTGGGTGAACGTGGCAATAAACAGCCCTGCAGCCCACCAAAGCGGCTTCTTCTGTAAGAATTTGAATAAATTGGGTAGAAAAATTGAGTTGCAGTTTAGATTTACACTCTAGTTACTATACTTGGGATTATTTGTTGGCGTAATAAGGGACTTCTGTCCCTGAAGCAGCTAAGCAGATTTCTTATGAGCATTGAATTAATTTGAAAAGAAGTCATGAGCTTCACGTTCAGTTTTTACTCATTTCTTGCTTGGACAGAAAATGCCGATTGCCTCACTCAAGTCTGTTTTTCACATGCATGAAAAAATTTAGCAGCTGCTCTTGTAAGTCCTTCATACCCTAAAAGGCCATTAGGTGAAGGTGGGGATTCTTGAAATTGAGCAAGTTTTTATTTCAGGCCTGGGATTTAATAGCAATAAATTGGATTCTTGGATGTGCAGATTTCTCTTTATAAATGCTCTTTGAGGCCATGAATGTACATGTGGAGTGAATGAACAAAATTAACCTTCCTATAAAGTTATTGATGCATTTTCTGTAACTTGTTTTAACTACAGTCACAATCCAGACCAATAATTATATCCCTTATTCTGTTGGCTATATTTAAATATTTAATAACTATGTAAATATGTATTTAAATGTGATATGTATTTAAATAAGCTGCATGTGAAATCCTCCTCTCTCTGCCTTTCAGCCATTCTTTTAAATACTGTTTGTGGTGGGTATGGTACTGGTTTTTTGTCAGTATATAAATATATTCGCTAGAGTCATTGCATTATGGTGCAGTCAGAAAAGGACCATGATTTGTATGGTGGTTTCTCTGAAAAATCATTATGTGATTCACTTGAAGAACATCATTCTCAGGCATTTTGTCTGTCTGAAAGAAAACATAAAAAAAGTGACAGCTGACTTAAAAAGGTCCTAAACCATAGTGGGAATTATGTGAGCTAAAGCTAGGTACAAATAGAAATGCAAAAATTGGGCTAAGTGTTCCTGAGCTAACAACTCTAGAAGAAATTTTTTAGTATAAATCTAAACCTGTTTTCTTTTACTTTCTTTTTTTCTGTCTTCCGTTCCTTCCAGCTATGTTATCACAAACCCACCGTATGAATTTGAGCTTGTGCCGACGGACTTGATCTTCTGTTTGATGCAATTTGACCACAACGCTGGCCAGTCCCGAGCCAGCCTTTCTCATTCCTCCCATTCCTCCTACTCTTCCAGCAAGAAGAGCTCATCAGTCCACTCCATCCCATCGACAGCCAACCGACCGAACCGCACCAAGAGCAGAGATTCCCGGGACAAACAGAAGTATGTGCAGGAGGATAGACTTTGATATGTGTATCTGCTCCCACTGTGTGTGAAACTTGCATTCACCACCCATTCTCCCCGGTTAATGTTTCCAGCAGTAATGTTCCCTGTTTTCCCATGGAGTTCTCCCTTTTTTGTACACATATTTTGCATATGTATGACAGTGTGCATGTGATTGTCATTTTTATTTCACCACCATAAAACCCTTAAGCACAACAGCAACAAAGCAGACGGACCAAAAGTTATTTATGATGCTAGGGGAGAATAAAAAAAGAATTCCAAACCCATAGGCACACTGAAAACATAAATAACTCACTGCAGTTACTCTACATATCTGAAAATAGAGTATATTTAACATGAACACTTGCTCTTGATGTCAGAGTTACACAAAGAAAGTCATTTAGTGCAGAAGTGTTGATGTATGTTGCAGTAGGTTTTTTTTAATACTTATATTTACAGGAGCTCATACATTTATTTGAAGCTTATAAAACTCTCCTATTGAAAAAAAAACAAAACAAAACAAAAAAACCAAAAACCATGCAAAAAAAAACTCCCTGTTGATTTTTCACTCTCAAAGCTTATGTTATATAGGGCTTACACTCCTTGTATAGATTATTGCTAGACATCTGCTTTATACCAAAGCAATATCAGGGACTTTTCTGCTTGTTCAAGAACTTTCTCTAAAATACTAGTCTTTTGGAGATGGTGTATTTTCCCTTTAACACTGAAATTGTCGGGGCATGAAGTTTTACAACTCCAATGGTTTAATTTAAGTTTAGAAAGAGTCTAATTGCATATTAAATTATTATTCTGTCTATTTATATTGCCACATGAATAGCTATATTTTCTTTCACTTTTGACATTTGGGATAAAAAGCCATATGTATCATAAATATTGGATGTAAGTCATTAAAAACTGCCTTCTTGGGACTTTTACGTCTTTAAAAGGTGAATTAGTCACCTTATGTACAGAATAAATAATGTTCAGAAAAGAGCAAGCATTTTTCTATGCTTGCATATCAGATCTCAAGGGACTTTGTTCCTTTCCCCAGATGGTAGTTTAACTTTTCCAAGTTAGTGTTCGTATAAATTTTCCAACAAGGGTCCTAATATGTGAAGAACCTCCAGAAATCTTGCTGCGTGTTCTACCTGTTTTTTTCAACAGGTGCATGCCAGTATGCAGGAATACAGGGAAGACAACTGAGTGCCTTTAAGTCTCTCCCATTTGGGGAGAAAAGGTGCTGTGCCCCAGACTGTTAATGAGGAGAACAAGAGGGCTGGGTTGGAAATACTCACGGTGCTGAGGCGTCGTGTTCCGTGCACTTGCCAGAATTCAGTTCTTGCAAATTGTCACCAATGACACATGCAGCCAAAAAAAGTTGTGGCAGGGAGCTAAATAAAGCAGTGGAAAGGAACCTGCCCTAGACAGCCATAGGAATGATAGTTCAGGCTTGCTTTTACTTTTTTTTTTCTTGGTTTAAACTTCAGAAGCCAATGTATATTTTGAAATATACAGCTAGCTCTAGGTTTATGGAGGGTTTCCGAGGGTAGGGAGGGCAGAAACACATACCCTCTTCCCTGGCTATCCAGCGAGAAAGCATGCAGACAGAAAAATATTTAGACTTGGAATGATTAGCATTGTAACTGCCAACCCAATCAAGGTGCTTTTATGGTTAGTTTTGTCTTCTACCTTCCCCTTCCCCACGCATGATAATTTTGAAGATTTGCTTGCTGTGTGAATTGACAATAAAGCCAAGCACTTTTACTGACAAAACCTGGAACCGTGTAAGTGGGCTACAGAGAATACCACTGTGCAGTGCTGAGCATAATGATTGGAATACAGTCTATATGTGTGAGTGTGCATTCAAACGCAGCTGTAAGTCCAATCAGTGAAATGCATTGCAAATTATGGTTGCTCCCCTACAAATGAGACTATTACAGTTGCTCTTCATCATAAAGAAAAATTCACGTGTTCCTTTTTGCAAAGAAAGTTATCGTGTTTTGCCCTCAGAATATTTATTGCTACAAGGATGTGCCAGTTAAAGTGCTCAACCAGAAATATGACAGTTTAAAAGCATTGTAAAACTTACATAGCTTACTTCTTTTTCTAAAGTGCAACAAGGATGAATAGAATGGGCCAAGGTATGAAAATTAATGGTTCTGCATGACCTAGCAACTGCTGTGGGTTTCCCTCTATAACTTTGTCCTTGTGAAAACTTGTGAAATTAAAAAAAATAGTTACAAACCTTATTCAGTTATTGGTTTGTTTGTTTGGTTGATTGTTTTGTTGGTTTTCTTTTGCCTTTTTTTTCCCACCAAACCAGAAGTAAAACTGGCTGCTGCTGCTGCTGCTGTTTCTCAACCCTGTTTTGTTTTTTTCTCCTCTCATCTGCTTGCCTTTCTAATTGCACGTGTCCTTTTGTAAAGACCCAGGTTCCTGCTCAATGAAGATGCCTATCGTGGTGCAGACATTACTTTAATTTCCCATTCCTCATTCCAATTTCTTTCCTACCTTCCCCTCCCTACTCTCCTATTCCCCATGTATGTACATGAGCATCTTTTTATGTTGGCAGAATTGATTGAAGATAGTTGAGAGCAGTTACACATTTTGGAAGAATGTTAATGGCTTTGACACCAAAATGCTTTTCCATTAATGTTTTATCTGTTTTCCATTTAGCAGAGAAAGAAGGGTGTTAATATGAAGCCACTTGTCACATGCTACATAATGATCTTTATCCAAAAAAATAGTATTTGTATAACAGTGCAGCTCAAATAGAAAAGACATAAACAGTGTACATTAGAGAAGAAACTTGACTACTTTGTGAGCAGCAGAAGAGGAATATCTAATATAAATCTAAATCAAATCTAAATTCTTCAAATTACATTGGAGTCTACTCCACCTCTGTCCTCTATCCTGAAGTTAGAATTCTAAAACTTTTGACTTTTAGTAGTATTGCGTACAATTTCCACTGCTGACTATAGTCAGATTGATCAAATAGTTTATTATAGTGATGAAGGTTTTCTGATATGGATACACTAATGGAGGTTGATCATTATAAGCAGAGAAATGCTTAAATCAACTTTATTTTGGTGTTTATATTGAAAAGTAAGAGGAAATCTCCTGTTCTATCCCAAGTCAGACAACCATAGTAGAATGGTTAGTTTTTGAAAGTGAAGAATTATCACCAATGTCAGGAAGTGACATTTTAGGTTTTTAAATGAAGGTCCTGCCATTTATATCAGTCCCAGCATGGTTTCAGCATTGGAAACCAAATTCTTAGTGAGCTTAAGCGTTGACACAAAACCATGTCTAGCAAACCTGCAGGATCTTGGCATGGGTTCCTGTTGACTTGAACAGAGAGAGTCAGGCATTTTCCAGTGAAATTCCCATTGTCAAAACTAAGAATTCTGGTTGTTTAAAAAATAAAAAATCAAGAACAAGTCCAGAACATTTTCTTTGTCACAAAACTTTTGTTGCCCTGGAGTAAAGTAAAGGTCTTCATAGAAAAAATAGTTTATTCTCTTTTTCCCTGCAAATTTCTTACTGCCTGCTGCATGTAAAATATTCATCTGCCAAAACAAAGAATTTCTGAGTAGGTGGGTGGAGAAACTTTCAATACTTTTCTTTCTCATGCAGGAACAAATTACATGGAAGAATTTTCAGCTTAGTTATAAACAAAATGGCTACATGCAGGGAGGAGACACACACATACATGTAAACTAATTTGAAACTGCAAGTGTCACAGAAGACAAAAAATGCATGTTTTAAACAGTTGAACAGTAACCTGGGATTATGGTGAAAATATAAATATAGTAAAACCTTTGTGTTGTGTTTGGGTAGTGTTTTCTTTGCCTCTGCTTAGAAGAGAGGGTGTTTCACAGTGACATTTGCTCTAAGTTGCTACTCAGTCCAAAATTAATGATAGAAATTTTAAAGCACCAATACAATTAACCTCTTGGAGAGAATTGCTGCAATCTATACAACTTGAAGAAAACTTTATTTTGAGCGTTTTACTTTGATTATTTATATCCTTTTTTTTAAAGCTGCGGGGAAGAGTGTTCCACAAAAACATTAATTTTTATTTATTTGTAATGTGAGCATTTAGCCTTTTGAACCCTCTTGGATGCACTGATGCTGATAGGCCATTACAAACATAGATGTCTGAGAGTGTTTTCTGCCATCTGATACATTCAGTTACTAAGCTGTTCCAACATGTCTCAGGTGATGCTGTCAAAAAGAAGCCTGTCAAATAGTGTAGGAAGATCAGGGACTTTTTTAGCAGCTCCTAAAAAAATAAGGTAAAAAACTATGCCTGTTGTCACTATAATGTAGAAACATTTCTGGTAAGGATCAATATGCATATTCCAAAAGGGAGAGAAACAGACTCAATGTGACAGAGAGCTTAAAAATACTTGGTGAATATAGCAATATATAAAGACTTTAAAAAGGGGGTTCCTGAGCTGATGTAAAGGAAAAAGTAAGTATTAAAGATAAAAATCTGTATTTAGACTCTGGAACACATACCAAAATCAGGCTTTAAGCATAGCATAAAAGACTGAAAAGTGTGTAGGGGCTTCAAGAAGAACATTTAGTGACTGGGAGCAGAATATCATAGTGGCCAAGAGTAAAGATCAGGAGTGTTAAGCTCACATTTCAAAGGTAAGTAGAGAGGCCAATGAATTTGCACAGGAGATTCATCGTTATGTGGTCAAAGATAATTTTGACAGCAGAGAGGAGCAGGAAAGGTATAAAGCTGGATTTAAGCATTGCATGCTGGAGGATGATAATGCTTGGGTCAAGGTTTCAGCACTGGCAAAAAGAAATCTAAACAGCAAAAGACATTAGAATCTACTAGCTTCTGCATTTATTATTAATGTTCTGTATGTATAACTTGCCAGGTAAAGGCAAAAAGAGACTGGTTGGTGTCTTTTTAAAGAGCAGCTCCCTGTATAGGAGTTCTATTGTAAATTTAACACATAAATAAATAGCTTATTTGGAAAATTTTAGGGAAAGCAGGGCATTTTGAAGTGCTTTACACTGGCTGCTGAAAAACACAACACAGCTCTCATTCCTAGCACTCACACAAGCCTCCCCTTACTTGCTACAACAATGAATTAACTTGCAACCAAGTTCTGTTTGTAAGGAAAGTTTTTGCACCATGTGTTAAAAAAAACAAGGTAGCAATGAAAGTTCACGGTGCTTAACTTGCCTCAAAATCATTTTAAACACAAACCATTAGAAAACTGTTAGTTTGAAATTGTTTATGTGATCTCACAAGGCTTTTAAAACATGATAACCATCACACTTTACACCTCTCTGAAAGGTTAGTTTAATCGTAGATCACATAAAATTGGTTTCCACAAATGCATAATGGTTCATGTGTCACACTTGAACTAAATGGTTTTTTAAATGGAGCTGAAATTATTTTGATGTGTACACATTCCCAGACTTCTTTTCCCTACAACCTTTCTTAAACCGGCCCCCATCAGGAATCATTCCCTTAAAGTCTCATTAATAATTCAGATGTTCTGATTACTTTAAAAGATCTATGGAATTGAGGCTTTTTTTTTTTTTTTTAACTGCTTGACAAAAAGATAAATGAATGTAGAAAGAAACGGTAGGAGTCTGGCAAGCTGTAGATCATCTCTGAACAGATTGTAACTTTATCATTCTGTCAGGAAGAATAATTTAAAGCACTTAATCAGTTAGCTTCAGTGTGCAGGATGTAACATTATGAATTCCTATCGTCCAATCTGTTCAAATCAAAGGGAACTTAATTATAATAGGTGAGAGAGAGGGAGATGGGAGATTGAGCGTCGTTCAGACTCAGGCACCTTTAAGGGGGCAGGGAATTATTTAGTCTGGTCACAAATGAGTAGGACATTTTTAAACACAAGTGAAAAGCATTTTAGAAAATTACAAGAAAAACAATACAGTAGTTCCATTTCCCTTCAGTAATAAGCCATTAATAAGTAATATGATTCCTGGGTTTGATTTAATTTTTTAAAAATGTGTAAGAACAGGTAGCAAAGGTTTTAACATGGAATGGGGATTTTGCTTGTAAATTCTAAAAATCCATATAAAGTGGAAGTGGTTTAATTTGTTATTCATGAAAGTGACTGAAAAGTCCAGTAATTCTGGAGATTAAGCTACTTCTTGAGAGACTCTAAACTCCAAAGGTCTTTGTTTATTTTTGTGTGGTTATGTCTAAGTATTTTTCCACTATTTTTCTCAGCCTTTCAATTTATTTTCTCTCCTTTGCCTCCTGAGCTTTTGTGCTCAGTCCTTGGGTTTCTAAGGTGAATTTTGCTTGCTAATTTTCAATAATTTATTTATTAAAAAATGAGCATTCTTTCCACTCCTGTTCTGATTCCAGATACTGCAGCATTTCAGTGGTTAGAAAAGTAGCAGTTTCTATTATGTAAGTGAGGCACTAAAGCTTCTGCAGCATTTTGGATTCCCCATTGGAGTGAGAAGTAGTGCATACATGTAAGAGTAGCAGCTCTGATACAACACACCTGTAACCTTCCATGTAATAAGGAAATGCCCAGAACCATAAGTGTCCACTGCTCTGCCCACCCACCTCTGGAACCTGGGGAAGGAGGACAAGAATGGAGGCAGAACTCTGTTCACAAATGCTTGTCAAGGCACAAGTGCACCTAATGGCCATCAACCACTCTCTAGACCAGGAGTTCCCAAGTCTTGGAATAAAGTTTTCTTGTAAGGTTACATGCCTGTCATTGAGAAATTACAGCAGAAAATGCTCTCTAAAGGGTTTGTTATTTTTTTTTTCTTTTGTGAATTTTAAGAAGCTTTTGTCCATAGCTGCAATGGAGCAGTGCAACAGAGGGGTTACAGTGCTGAACAGCTGGGAAAGGGCTGCAATGCTGCAGCCTCTCAGCATCCTCCCACATTGCTCCCAGCCCACCTTAAAGCTGCACCATAAAAATTCCTCCTGTGTTCATGGAAACAGGCATTGCTCAAGGACAGAAAAGAAAGAGCTTCCTCTCTAATTTTCCTTTAAGTCCTCACTTCCTTTGCCTTGCAGTCACCTATCCGGACTGATCCATTCAGGATTAGCTGGAGGCCCTGCCACCGTCACCTGCAGTGTCTGCTGTGTTCCCCAGCCCATTTTAAACTCCAGAGTTCAGCAGAGCCCCAGCACCTGTGTTTCAGAGTAGGGATTTAATGCCCACCCTGTGCAGCAAGGCTGTCTGGCAGCAGGAGTGCAACTCCTATTTATTCTAGCACCAACTGCAGAAAGTTCTTTATGTTCTCCTGCATGATTTTCTGGGCCAGCAGTAGCCACCACCCCAAGGCTGAAACGGTTCAGAGAAGTCTCTGACTCTCTAGGTGCTCCTCTGTGCATAGACTCCCATGCTCTTTTCTGTATTACCCTTATCCCAGCTGCTCTCCTTGGCTTCTTAGTTTAGATTTTGATTTGTATCTTTTTTTTTTTTTCCAATATATGAATCACCTGAGCATGGGCACAAGAAAAGAGCTCTCTTACATCCAACAAGCAAACTAGCATATTGGCAGTTTTCTTTAGCTTCTATTATCAAATCTGCAAGCGTCATCCTCCTTTCATGACTGTATTTTCAGAGGTATTAATCTAATGCACTGTACTGCTAGTAATTGGTCAAAGTCACCTTCTATTGATCTCTGTTTTCTATAAACTTTACTGACTGCTCCCTTTTTCTTTTTTTTTTTTTTTAATGTTTCTGTGTATGTGTGCTTCACTAATTAACACTTTCATTTTTCCCTCCTTATTCTGTCTCTACCCCTTTTTGCTCCTTAGCAGAAAAGAAATGGTTTACAGATGAGCCGGATAATGCCTATCCCAGAAACATTCAAATCAAGCCCATGAGCACTCACATGGCCAATCAGATCAATCAATACAAATCGACAAGCAGCTTGATACCACCAATACGAGAAGTTGAAGATGAATGTTGACTCCTTCGAAGCCAGAACTATTTTTATAAAGCCTGACAAACTTCATGAATGGTGATGTGACATTTATTCCTCTTACTTGCTGAACCACTGATGGAGAAGTTAAGAAGGGCACGCTTAATGGGAAAATAAAGTAGACAGATCTTTGTTTGTCTGCCTTTAATATTGCTTCCACGTATTTTGGAAACTATTTCATTTATAAATGAACATAATCAAAACTAGTTCATGTATAGCCTCTAGCATTTTAAATTATTTTTATTTATTAGAAAAAATATATTTTTCTTTTTTTTTTCATTGTTAAGTATTTTCCCTTTAAAAAATGGCATATGTGGCCAGACTCCTAAGAATTAAAAAAACCCAACAAACCCTCAGTCTTTGGCTTAAAGGAGAATGATGGTCACAGTTATAAGGATATGTAATTAAGGGAGACAAATGATATATTTACAAAGAAGAAAAAAGGTCCAACTTGTATTTTAGTAAATCAAAAAAAAAAAAACCAAGAAAAAAAACCTACACTTCACCAAAATGTTTCTTTATCGGAAGATGTGTATTTTGTTCAGCATTGACACCAGCTCTTAATAAATTGAACTTATTTATTTTCAGAGTTGAAAGTCATATTTTTGTACATGTAGCATTCTTCAGAAATATTCTTTGTTTTATGAACATAAGCAGATCCCCTTGGCTGTGTGGAGGTGCAGTGACCCCTGGCTGTGCCCTGCCCCTCTCACGGTGGCATCACGGGAGCGCGATGGGACACAGGCACAGGGAATGTCACCCCCAGCCAGGGCCAGGGGCTTGCAGGGCACTTGCTAGGAATGGCAAACCTGGCAATTGCACTTCACTTCCCATCAGCCATCAGCAGTGGCTAATTTCAGGAAGGCAAGCTTGGCAATTCTTCTTCTCTTGCCGTTACTACAGTGATTTAATCCAGAGTGCATAAAATAGTGCATGGAAGCATCAGTTATAAACCATCTAATCTACCACATTTTGTTATTTCCTTACTTCAGAAGTGCTGATGGCCTTTCATTGGTCTGAGATGGTACAAATTCTTCCTGATATGTACAGAGATTTAGCTCCAGAGCCTTGCACTTTAGTAAAAGCTCATACCCTGGTAAAGGGCACACTGAATCTCCTTTTGGTTAATTCAGTCTGGGATAAAAACTGGCTTAGCTCCAGCTCTACAATCTCACAACATGCTGTCCTCAGTTAATTCCTACAATAAGCAACATCTTATTTTAGCAGTAGTTTTTCTTAGTTTTTTTCTCCATTTATTTATTTTTACTTTGCTGGGACACCACACACAAAAGTACAGTAAAAACCAAATAAAAATAATAAAAGTGATGAATGTATTTATTATGATAACATGCAAAAGGCCTTTGATGGGTGCCTTTTGTGTCAGCAGTTTCACAAAGTTGCCAACAAGCTTTATAGCCATCAGACAAAAATGTGATGTTTCATATCTGTGCTGCAGTATCCACCCACCCAAACATTTATGTTCTAAATGATTTAGTTACTCTCTCTATCTCAAATAAGCAACATCTGACACAATCGTGTGGAAACAAAAAAAAAAAAAAAAAAAAGGAAAGGCTGTGATAGTAGGGAAACAAAAACCAAAACTACAAAACCAGAGTCATCAGGAAAAGCAGATTTTCATTGTGCAAGTTAACTTTAGGCTTTGTAATTTTGCAGAATTGTTAAACACCACAATTAAACATACCATGGTATCTTTATCATTAGAGAAATATCAGTGAATCAAACAAATACAAAGCAGATGATGAATTTATTGTGAAAACAATGATGTCCACTATGTAATCCAACATTTAAGCCAAACTATCTCAGCTTTAATGTTTGTCCACTGGCTGCAGTACAAGTATAACCATACTAACACCTAATAGGCTTTATTCTGGAGTGACTTCTTGGACTGTGACTATTTTGTTGTTACATTTTGTAGAATAGCTATTTAAAGACAATAATGAGAATTGTTAATACAGTATCTGTAAAATTGGATTGTTTAAAATATTTCACTCTCCTACAGAGTAACAAAACAATACAAGCAGTTTTTCATTATTACTTAGATGCATGTTTAATGCATTTCACAGTCCCCAAAAGAGAAGATAATTCCAGTGAGTTCTTCCAACATATGCTGCTTCAGCTAGTGACACGTTATAATTTACATCCAGTCTCTGCATTGGGTCATGTTAAGCCTTTTCTTTGAAGTCAGTGCTCCTTTTTCATTTATGAACTGCATTCATATTACAACCAGAATGAAAAAAGCTGGTCCTGAGTACAGGAGAATTGTAGACATTTGTGTTCAACCTCACCAAATACATATGAATTTTAATTTGTTTTTCCTGAGAAGACTGGTGTTTACTCTAGGGGCATAGAACATTATGTCTTATACCTTCTCATATACAGTGCCACTTCTGAGTGTCCTTCCTTCAGAAGTGAACATTCACTGGGTAAAACATACTAATGAGTCAAATACAGCACCCCTACATTGCTGAGGTTTGTGTGTGTCTGTCCAATTTAACAGTCACACCCCGAAATGCCATGCTATTGTTTGTAAATAAAGGACAAGACTGAACACATTCATGGGCTTTTCTAGCACAGAGAGCTCCATATGCAATGGTTGATAAAACAACACTCACAGAGAGCAAACAAGCCAGGGAGAAACAGGTGGAGTTATGGGTCTACATTTCCCATTTACAGAAAGGCTAGAATCAGTGATATTTTCTTACTTCTATTTTTGATAATCAGAGATGCAGGACGGATGTCTGGAAATTAGATGGAGGAACAGATAGAAAAGGAGTTGGAATCTTTGATATTCAGCCATTAACAATTATAATAAGGCCAGCACCAATAAATGGATATTTGAAGTTATATCAAAGCTGGGGAAAATGCTGGGAAAGGGACAGCTGACAGACCACATGATGACTGATACAGAAATAAGTTCTTGGTTTTTATCAATGACTTTTACCCGTGTCTCAGAAGGCAAAGATTAAAAAAAAAATTGGGTGGGGAGGATTTCCAGGGTTTTGGGGGGGTTTTTTGTATTTTTGCTGGTGGTTTTTTTTGCATTAATTGCATGCACTACTGACACAGGCTATAGAATGTTTTTTTGGTAACTCATGTGTTGGATAAATAGTGTGTCTGTGTGTGTGTGTTTGCGTATATGCATGTCCACACATGCACACACACATATCTGTCTATGAGGGCACACACACGCACACAGATGTGTATGTGGGTACAGACACACACATATGTACAGGGGTGCGCAGGTATTTGATAGAGTCATCACAAGAAGGTGTCATCATTTTTATTTTCCATGAGCTGGCTTGAAAAAAGGCACAGAAAAGAAGAAAATATGACTTGCAGGGTGGCATATAGAAGAATTTTTTCCTGCTATTTCCACCTGGTTTGACCTGAAGCCAGCCATCCTGGTTATTTTTATGAGAGATGCACTGAGATTATGCTGCAGAGGATAAACTCTCACTGCTGCAGCTGGGCTGTGCTCCTGGCCCTCCTCACACCCCGCAGTTCTCTGCTCCCACACTGCCAGAAAGTCTGCTGGCTCTCTGTTCCATGGCTATTGGTTTAATTTGGCCCCTGAAGCCCCTGAGCACCAAGATGAGAGGATAAAACTGTCCTCTGATAGATTTGGTGGCAAGTGCCAAGCACAGCAGAAGTTAAGGTATAAAATAACAAAGATATTAATAGTCTAAATGCAAATTTTAACACCTTGATGTGATTGTGTAGTTCCTTCTAAAATAATAAGTATGTAATGCATTTGTTAATAGAGAAAAACATTTCCTTGTACATTTAAAAAGCATTCTAAAACCGTCACTGACATTTTAACACCTTGTCTTTCAAATCAGCATCAATGCCCAACAGTAGGGAATACATGGGACAGAAAGTACAAACCCCTTGATCTGGGCCAGGCGTGGTCAGCTGGATGTGAAAAGAACTAAATGGCCTCAGCCAAAGGCAGGACAGGACAAATGTGGTTTGCAAGGCAAGGCACAGGAGACACTGAAAAAACATTTAGACTTTTATTATACATTACTGGGTGGTGGTGGATGAGGTTGGCTATTTTTGGCCTGCAAAGGAAGATTTTGCATTTCTTGAATTCTTCATGTAGTAGAAGGAGAAAGCAAAATAGTGTGCTCTCATTCAGGTTTTGCTGGGGCTGTGTGTGTCTAAACTACAGCTAAAAACTACTGCAATAATTGGTTGCATAAACTGGTGAATAAACATTTATGACAAAAAAAGAGCAATAATTTACAAATGGTCAATGATTTGTGTTTTCACTGCTTGGCCACTCACTGGTCAATCCATAAAATCGTTAACAACTGCCCTGGACTAGCTGACTCACATGGGCACAAACTGAAACACAGAGCAGGTGCTTAAATGGTTTTAAGAAGTGGATTGCTAAGGGCTCCTGGATCCCAATGTATTTGAAATGAACACATATTGAGGTCAATGTGTGTGTGTGTGTCTTGTTTTAACAGCTGTTATCATTGTGAATTTCTTCAGCACCAAAAGAAGTGTGTGTCTCACCTTTCATTTCTAGTTTTGAATGTGATTAAACAAAATAACCAAGAGTGTGAAAGGCGATGAACGGGACAAAGTGAAAACACAAATCTGCTCCCAGTGTTGCAGTGGATTAGCCTGGGAATATCTGTCAAAGTCAATGGCAAGTGCATTAAAAAATTCAGAGGAAAGGAGAACTCTTTAGAAGCCTTTTGGTTTTTTCCTTTCTGTAGCATCTGAACCACCGAAATCCCCAACATGCAAACAAGCACCTTTTTAATTTTAAATTTTTTTTTTAATTCTAAAGGTTCTTGAATAATCACAGGCCTAAAGTAAATATTTTTAAAGTCATTATACATGCAGACCAGGTCTCCTAATATTCCATTCATAGTATTTTCATGCTGAGCAATAGTAGCGGGTGTGGGTTCCAGCCCCATCTGAAATGATGAAAAGAAGGTCTTGTGCTGCAGTCACTGCCCAGGATGGTGTGTGCGCCTTTAGTGTGGGTAAGTCAGTGCCAGCATTTATCAGAGCTGTATTTCTGTCAGTGATGCATCTATTCTGCACAGGTCCTCTCTGCTCCAGAGCGTGCAGCCACGCTGAGGCTGGGCAGCTCTGAGCAGCATTCTGTACACCAGGTGAATTCCTCTGGGGCCAGCAGTGAGCACTGCTGCTCTGAGCTACCTGCTCTGCACAGTGGTGTGGTACTGGTGGCTGCCAAAACGAGAAGGGGTAGGGAAAATGGAGAAAATATAAAATATATGGTATTTCTTTTATTACTTTGGTTCTAATTTAGAGCAATATCTAACTTAGGAAGCTAAACAGTAATGCTGCATCTAATTAGAACCTTTATGATGTTGAGACAAGGTTTCTTACTGCTTCAGTCAATGCATTTTAGAGGAGATGTCTATAAAGCAAAAAAAGCAAACAACCCAGAGCACAGCATATAGGCAGTTGAATAAATGTAATAAAACCCATA